CATATCTAGCAAAACTACAGGTTTGAAAGTTAAGAAACACACAGACAAGTTGCTAGAGGACCATAAAAATGAGTTCAAAAAAAAAAAAAAAAAAAAAAAAAAAAAAAACTGAAGCACTTTTGGAAATGGTAACAAAAGGCAATTGTGGAAGATGTGTCTTCAGAAGAAGAGAAATAAACAGAAAGTGAACCTAATTCTTTGATCTACAAATTTCTTTTCAAAATGGGGGTAAGATGCAAAGTTTCATGTACTGATATAACCCTGATAAAGCAGAATCAACCTACAGCAAAGCATTTTCAATGACAATGCCATAGCTTATGTTAGAAACATTTTAAAATGAAGAAAACAACAAATCAAACTGGAAAAGCTTTGTGTAAAACAGAAGCCTACAGAGTCTCAAGCTTAAGGAGTCAAGTACTAAGAGCAAAGAAAAGATGTTACAGAAAGACAGTTAACAGATGTTTTGATGAAAGGGCATTTCTCATCCAAAAAATACAATCTTTTCCCTTTCTCATCACTTTCAATTTATACTGTCCATTCTTCAAACAGGTATGGTAGAGTTAAATTTTTATCTATTTTATTTACCATTTATTGTATTATATTTAATGATTTACATTATTTTCATATTGTGAACTTGAGCACAAAGGACTGCTGTAAATTCTAAATATGCCATCATCCACAAATCAATTAATTTAATTTAAAAATAATTTAGTAAACATTTTATATGATGAATGGTTTTCAGGAAATGATTTCACAACATTTGAATATTTGGTATTTAGGGCCTTAAACTCTTCAACAACTAACTTTTTCTGAATTCACATCACCATTTACATAGGATGTTCCGAAAGAAAGTTTCATTCATTTTCACATGGAAACTTTATCGCCCCCCCCCAAAAAAAAGCCCACCGTGATATTAAGAACTAAACACCATGCACTATTTTTTTACATAGTTGTCACCGATATTGAAACATTTGTCATAGCATGCAGTCAGTTTGAAGAAACCACTCAGGAAAAACTTGGTGCCCTATGATGGAAGGAATTGTGGCACAGCCTGCTCCACCTCAACAGTATTTTGGAAGTGACATCCTCAGAGTGTGGCTTTCAATACAAGAAATAGGTGAAAGTCTGATACAGCAAGACTGAAACTGTAGGCCAGGTGATCTAATCTCTCCCATCCAAAGCAATAAATTTGATCTTGTGTAAGCCTTGCCGTACATGGTTTTGCATTGTTGTTTAAGAGCAAAGCACCTTCACTCAAGAGCTCCGATCTCTTCGACGAATGGTAGACCTGAGTTTGGTGGGGTGTCACAGTAGTATACCACATTGATTGAAAACAACAAACTTTAAAATAAAGAAGTTGTTTGTGTTAACTCCTTATGTCACCACAAAGCACAAAGTAATGAAAATATTCTGATTTTCAGTGGCTTTAGATTAATGAAGTTAATTATGTTAATGCTTTCTAACATGGTTTTGAATTTTGATGGCATACCTTTGACTACTAAGGCTTCTCAGTGAATGAAATTATGGCCAGGTAGCATCAGGTTCCAGTTAAAATTTTAGCTATTATGGAACCATGCCTAGTGGCAAGTGCAAAAACCCAATTCAAACAACCTACACATTCTTAATTTCCTACACAAATTAATTTCATGTTTTTTTCATATCTCAATAGAACTTTAAAAATTTGTTCTTTATGTGTACAAATTGGCAGAGCTTTTGAAAATAATATATCTTCATGTGTCAGTCTTTAACTCATAGCTAACACAATAAATCAAGTATACATCATTTGAAATGTCTGTTGTTTCATTTATCTAAAGTGAATAAAATAGGCTTCCTTTCTATTTCCCTGATTAATCCAGATTCTATTAGCCATGTCATTGATTTGGTGTATAGCTATATTGTTTGATAGTGGTATTAAATTAATGTTCTCAAGATATTTTTCATTAAAAACGTTTTATTAACACTTTTTTTGTAACTGGAAATATTAAAGTTTCACCTAATAGAATAGGTTTTTTTTTGCTCTTTAATGATATGAACATTTTCAATATAGAAAGCTTTTTCAAGTCCTTTAATAAAACTCTATACAATGCCAATTTGGGGGGAAAAGTAATAGATAAATGTCTTGTGTAATTTTGAAATCCTGAATTTTTAGCTCAGTGCAGTATATGCAGTTACATTTAGTTTTATTATTTTTTGGAAATATAAGAGGATACAAGGGCAGGCTTTGAGGACCACTTATGAGGGTCTGGTACCTTTCACCATCACCATTTCATTGTAGCCATTTCGCCGTCAGGATGCTTCGCCATTGGGCTGTCAAGACATATTTTTCTTTACGTGATTGTATTTTATCTTGTCATATTATACTTGTATTAAATTTATTTAGTTTAATAATTCTGTTTAGTTTTGTATGCTTAATAAAGGTTTCTTTTAATATATATAGTTATTTACAAGTATTAGATATAAAAAAATTACACATAGTTAGTTGAAAAATTTTGTCAGTATCAAAGAGAACTGGGGCTAAACTTCTGATATAACAGAAGTTATATTATCGATTTTAAAATTATGCGGTTACAATATTTACATGATTCATCAAAATTTCTTGAAATTTTAATCAGCTAGTTCAGAGAAATCACTCATACAAGCAGAAAATTCACATTTTTATGAAATCTAAATGGGAAATGGAATTATTTTGAAATCTTGTCAGCACCTTACTCTCTTAAAATTAATATGTCATGTGTAATGGCATATTTGTATAAAACTGTACCCCAAAACAAAATGATTTGCCCCAAAAATTATAATTATTTATAAAAAATTTTATAAATTTATTTAATAAACATTTATATAAATAATATATAAAATGTTTATTAAATTAAATTATTAAACTAATTAGAGTTATTAACTTAAATCAACTTAATATAACACGGCAAGATATAATACAATTGTGTAAAGAAAAATATGTCTTAATGGCGAAATGGCGATGATGAATAATTCCCCACTTGTCTGGTCTTTATGTGTAAACTGTGTATTTCGTAAACTGTGGTCCGAATACTGCATTTAAATCTTATACAGCAGAAAGGAATGAATAATTTCTGAAATTCCAAACGAATTATGTAAAGTAGTTGACATTAAAGTTCAGCAAGAGAAGGATACAGCAAATTTTCTCCTTTTCTAAATTTATTCATTTAATTATAAGAAAGCTTACTGCATGCGAAAAAATGTTTTGTTACACTGCCCATTTATGACAAAGTGTCCATCATAAAATGGATAAACATAATGTTACATTTATCCATTTTATGATAATGTCATTTAATTTCCTTTCTTAACTCAATTTTGTTTTCTAAATAATTATGTTATTTTGCTATTTTTGTTAATTATATGAAAAAAAAAAGAATCTATCTGAATTCACACAGATGAAAGCAGATCTTACAGCAAGGATATAAAAATACATATATTATATTACAACAAAAATGTTATCGCAAGCTTAAAATTGAGACTAACTTAATTATATATATAGGAAATGTAAATATGTAAATTAGTAATAATGATAATGTGGCAGATAGCTTTCTGGTAGCTGAGCAATTCATCGACATTAGTCAGAGGTAAATTTTTTTAGCTGAAAGGAACAGCACATGCAGCCTGCTTTAGCACATATGAGCCCAAGTTGTTCTTTGAATTATTGGACAGCACAGCAGCAAGAGAAGCAACGCAGTGATTATCACTGATTTTCTGGCCCTTTCCTGGATTCTTCCGCCATTCAAGATCTTCTGACATATTCCTAGATCCCTCGGTCATTCCTAGATTTTTCAGCCGTTTCTGGTTTCCTCAGTTGTCCTTGAGCTGATAGTCTATTCCTGATCTGATAGATTATACCTGACCCACTGGCAATGGCCCTGAAGAAAGTAGTTAATACAGAATATTTTCCCCATCCATATAGCAATGTAGATATCATCATTATATTACATTTTTTTTTATTTAATGACAAAGCACCATGCTTCAGTTTTCTTTCTGTGATGCTAATTTTTGTTACTGTGGTGGACCATAATAAACCCTAGTTCAGATGTCTGTACCCAATATGCTTTCTGTTGAAAATGAAGTCATATAGGGCAAGCAAGTTGTATCTTGCCACAACAATAGTGGTATTTATGAATAAAACCAAATACAAATACAAAATAAGTTCAAAAATTAGATTATTCCACTTAGCAGAAGAAAGCTATTCCTTCCACCTAATTTTTCCCATAGTTTTCTCCATTGTTAAAGAAATCTGACAACCCCATATCTCAAAAACGTAAGAGAAAAAGAGAGAAATGCACTGTGTTTCACAAAAAAAAAAAAAAAATAAAAAAAAATAAAAAATAAAATAAAATAAAATAAAAATAAATAAATAAAAAATCTTAGAGCTTTCAGATTTTACATTACACCCTAAGGGACTTTTTTAATGTTTTGTGTGTTTCCTTTATTTATCAAATATCATGTCCTTCGCACTTAAACCATAAATTCAGTTCAACAGCAATATCACAAATTATTTAAAAACAGCATATCTAGAGGATTTCCGATTGAGAGTCTCTCTTTTCTTTAACGTACTGTCTTGCCATTACTCGCTTTTAAATTGTTGAGTTTGTTAATCAAAAATTCGTTAAAATTTACAAAATATAAAATAGATAATAAAACACATTCCAAATTTGGACTTCCAGATTCCCATATTTGGGTGGAAATGTACGTTATTTAAAATTTGATGGCTCTACGTACCGTACTTTTATCATAATGCAAGAAACATACATATAATTTATCCAGATTCTTCATTATTTAATTTTTTAAAATATAATACAGGGTGATAATATTTGGTGGCAACAATTTGAAAAGTGAACCAATGCAAAATGGGAAAACAAAATTAATAGTTCTGGGCAAATTGCCCCTTTGGACTAAAAATTCTTGAAGAAATGGAAATTAATGTATTTTACACAAAATACAAAACATTATTAACCTAAAGAATCAAACATATGAACCTCGGCCATCCGCAGTTGCACTTTAATTTATTTTTAATGTCATTCTCAGTTTGAAGTACTCCATACAGCCATTCTAAACGAACCTCATCAAGATGAAGAAGTTTATCAAGCACTTTTGACCTGAAAAGAAGGAAATTAAATTTAAATAAAATAATTAAAAGTAATGAGGAGAACATGGATATTTAGAATTACATAAACATGAAAAAGTTTATGAATGTGAAAAGAAAATTTTCTTTTCATAATTATACTACATCATACACAATGAACACAATATGAAGGTGATCAGTCAATTTATCAAGAACAATCACTTGTTACTCTTTCTATATAATATAGATTCTGAATAAATATTTACCTATAAAACTGTGTTTTTTCCTTATTTATGACACTAAATTCAATGCATCTTTACAAAAACAAACATTATAGAACAAAAATGGCACTATTTACCAAAAAGAAGTTTTCAAAAGAATAACTGTGGAAGCTGCACAACTGAATTTTAAAGGAAAAGTGTAAATATCCAATTTGGCTATTAAGCTGACTTTTACAGATATTTGTTTCCCATGTACATCACACACACACACACGCGCGCACGCACGCACGCGCATGCACGCACGCACACACACACACACACAAAAAAAAAAAAAAAAAAAAGAAAAAAAGAGTATTAAAGGCATCTTTAATTTGTACAGTAGATTATATACTTTCCTAGAAACAAACAAATGAAATATAGCATCCTGATTGTTTTATTTCTTCATTTAAAGCTACATTGTTTCTATCAAAGAGATGTTGTTATTTCATGAGTCTATAATCATCAGTCTTTTGAGTTGCGACGCTGATATGGCATATGATGTTGATATTGATGTTTCTTTCTCTACTGCAGAAGTTGACTGTGTGACTGAAACGTAAGTCTGAAGAAGTCATCACGATCAACCTTGTTTAATGTGTATCTCAATCTTGGTGTTTTCCCACGAAGCTTGAAGAGTGCAAAGATTATGCTTATTCCTAAAAGTGTAATTTACTTCAGTGTTTGGGGAAGTGCTTAGAGAAGCAATGCATAACTAGACTTAATTATCATCTTGGTTGTTCTGGCTTTTTAAATGAGGATCAGTTTGGATTTACTCCACAAACATTTACAGAAGATGTTTTACTAATTCAGAAGTCAAACAATAAAAATCAGCGTTATATTTACAAAATTTACAAAATTTTGTAATTGGCCAGAATTTCATTTAAGGTGAGTTTAAGGTACCTCTCCGTTTGCTACCCACCTTTTTTTTACTTCCTTGTACAAAATAAAATCAGCGTTATATTTACAAAATTTTGTAAATATAACGCTGATTTTTATTGTTTGACTTCTGAATTAGTATTTATTCGGCGTGTTATTGTGTCTTAATTATAGAAGATGTTTTGCTTTCATTATTCAATATTATTGCTAATAGAAAGTGTACCGATTATATAGCTTTCTCCTTTTCTTGGGTATAAGAGGAGCATTTCATAATGCATGGTGGCTCAGCATTCTTCATTTACTTAGGTATCTTAAAGATCTTCAGAATATTTTTTATTTAATGAAGACAATTTGCAGTTTTGCTCAGCTGAACTTAAAGAAAAAAATTTGATTTAGAAAAAGGATGCCCTCAGGGTTCTGGTCCTTTTGTTTGAAATCTTATTTATGAAAGAATTTCTCTGCAATTTGAGAAAATTCCAGAACAGACACCAGATTGCTTTTACATAATGATTTATTTGCTATTGTACAGTGTAAAACAAAAATAATGCACCAGTGTTTATTCTCAGAATATTTTACACAATATTTATGAATAGTCAAAACTTTACAAGCTTGAGTTTAATTCTTCAAAACTGAAAATTAAGACAAGACATAAAAAATCAATGCCATCTCATAATAATGATTTAACTCTTGAGCATTGGACTATTGAAGAAGTGCAGTGGGTCAAATATTTAGGAATTATTTTGGAAACTAAGCCAAAGTGGGGGAAAAAATATTTCTTATATATCCAGAAAAAGTAAAACATTTCTTCTTGGTTTACTGTGAATTTCAAAGAACACTTATGGGATTGAAACTGATGTTCTCAAGCTCAAACCAAGACACCCTACCACTCATTTCCTATGCCTCAAAAGCTTTAAGGAAGAAAATAAACTACAATTTATTTTTTTCTCTAATGAACTTTTTAAAAGAGTTTAAATGAGATTTCTCCTTTGCATTATTTCGGGTTACAGGACGGTTAGTTATGAGGCAGCATTCATCATTTCTTATCTTTCACCTACTGATTTAATAATTTTATATAATTTTGATTTCAGAGGTAGACTGTAGAGTCATTAGGTTATTTTTGAAGCAGACGAAGTGAAAAATGAGCAATTCCTTCGCCGGGACTCAAACCTGGACCTCTCGAATATGTGCCGACTGTACTAACCATTACACCACTAGGGCATGCAGAAAGGAGGGCTTCAAGTGACAACCCTTGCAATGCTTTAAATGGGATGCTTTGTATTTCAAATCTGCCTCACTCTTCAGAGAGAAAACCTTTGACAATTTTATCAATGGAATTGATGTTTTTCAAGAACACAGAATTATTTTTTTCACTCACAGCAGTAAGTTAAATGGAAAGGTTGGCCTTGCATTTGTTATCTATGAAGATGGCAAACAGAATGTAATTTCCAACACAGAATACCAGATGAATGTTCTGCTTTTTAGACTGAACTTTTGATCTTGCCATTAAATGGATACAAAATTCTTGCAAGAGAAATGGGATGTTAAAATATCTTATTTTTGGAAGCACATTGCTTGGATAACACTGTTGTTAACTGGAATGTTAAATACCTTGCTTCATGGAATGCCCAAAGGATTAAGAGTTTTTCCCCCCCCCGAAGTTTGAAATTTAAACATATTTAACCAGATTATAGATTAACTCAAATTTTAAATGATCATGGGAATTTTAAAAAATACTTATTTCATTTTAAAATCATAATCAGTGTGATTATGATATGCTTTAATGTACTATAATACCATTGTATTACATCTCATTTGTATTAATATTACTTTTTATCTATTCTTTTATTATTATTATGATTTATTTTCTTTAATAACAGACTTTGCACTCACAGCAATGCTATAGAAGATGTAGAGAATATCTTATTGCATTGCAGGTTATATGCGAGTGCCAGAATTTCATTTAAGGTGAGTTTAAGGTACCTCTCTGTTTGCTACCCACCTTTTTTTTACTTCCTTGTACAAAATAAAAAGGAAGTGTTGTAATCGCGAAAAGCTTCAGGCAGGATATTTTCTATCCACTTTGACCGCTTTCAAATGCAATTTAACGATGTTTTTGCATGATATCTGTACATAAGGACAGAATAAAAGACTCTTTTCCTCCAAAAAAACTAAAAAACTGCTTTAAAATGAATTCTGAAGACAATTTTTTGTGGCGTCTGTACGAACGTATGCGCGTACGTACGTATCTCGCATAACTCAAAAACGAGTAGCCTCAGAACGTTGAAATTTTGTATATAAGACTACTATAACATGTAGATGTGCACCTCGTATTTTGGTTTCAATCGGCCGTACGTATATAAATATATTCACTCTGTTACCCGGCTCAGTGATCTCAGCTTCTTTACGCTTGTATGTTTGTAAATTGTACATTTTTTGCTTTAAAAATGATTGAATTATGTTGTTTTTATCTTCCAGTTAAGGGTTTTATGCCTTTAGTAAATCTGTATACAATATTTTTAGAATTATCAACAATTTTGAAATTGCTTAAGTGCCACTAAGCCTAATTTGATGGCAGCCATTGCTCTTGTTTACATTTGAAACAGCTGAGTAGCGGATTTGTTGCCAATCTAGAGAAACTTAGCTTCGCAACAACAAAGATAACGCTTTCATTTATTATTTAAATCATGCTTAATCCTTTCTGGAATTTTTTCGAGGAAATAAGCATTTAAGATTTACTTTGTAATTTTTAATACAGATATTTTGAGTTTTTATGTATTTTTTCTTTGTCGCAAAGTGAAAACTGAATTAATTGAATGAGAAATACTCAATCGTCTGTGAAAAACTGTTTCTTTTTTGTTTTGTTTGCTTAATTTCTTTTATACATAGTTCTAGCTTTATTATAGTATTTGAATAGAACATGTGGCAACGATTAGATAATTCTTTAAATGATATAAATTTTGTCCATTCTGAGTTATAATATGAACGAAAAATAATACTGTTAAGTAAACCTAGCGCCAGAGTGTCGCAATGGTAAACAAAGTGAATTTTAAAGAATGCATTTATTCTATTGTGGTTTATGCGCTGTCGGCGAAGTAGGTTTAATTCAATCTAATAAGTTTAAATGAAATTTTTTAATGAAATAAGTTAAATGAAGAAAAAAAATGCATATAATTTAATATTCCGTACAAGGAAGTCATATGGTGCACACATCAGATTTTTTTATCTTGCCATGAGTTCTGAAGCTCTTGCTGTCTTGTGCAACTTTGTTGTTTAAACTTTTATTATTATTATTATACATTATTTAATTCTTATCTTTTTATGTGCCATTGCATTATTATTAAGTTTTATTATGTATGATTATGTTGTGCTTTAATGTACTATATTATTGTTGTGTTATATCTCCTTTGTATAAATATTACTTTTTACGCATTCTTTTATTATTATTTTCTTTTTAGTATTATTATTATTACAGTTTTACTTTTTATAGCATATTTTAGCATTCTTTAATTGTAATATTTGTATTATTATATATATTCTTTATTCTTGACAAATCTAGTTATTATGACAAAATTTGGATGTTTAGCTGCACGTAAGGGATGTTAGCTGTACATAAGGGGAGAAAGGAATCCATCCCCTTCGTGCTTTTCTTAAAATATAAGTTTTAAAAAATGTCAAGTTACAAATTCAGCACTGAATTTATGTATTTATTCATTGATTTAGTATTTGATTTTTCATACATTATTTACTGAAATTATTGTTTTAGTATTGTATTTACTTGCCTTAGTTGTAAGTATGGCTTCGTGTCCAGGGACTGTACTGCCCTAGACGTGCAGTGTTTGGGAATGGTGCAATATTACGAATTTTGTGTATATGTAAATAAGTGAAATTAAGTAAATAGCTGGCAAGATATCACCTAACTGCCAAAGATTTTGGCAATTAATTTTTGTCACCAAAGTTGGCGAGAATTTACCAAACTTGGTGAACATTTGCCAACCTTTGGGTTCAGTCCCAAACTGTAATTGGTATCGTTATTGAATAACTGTAATTTTTCCTTATATGTAACTGTAACCATATATGCCTTCCACTAATTTTGAGGAATGGAAGCTACTACAAATTTCTTGGCAGCCAGGGGAAAATTATAAGCCCAAAGAGAGCAAGAGTTCTCAGTTTTTAATTCAGAGCTGACTTCTCTTCGTGCATTCAATCCATTATGAACCCATACACATGCAAAACTTTTTCATGCCAGAAGTGGGACTAGATAGGTATCATGGGTTCTGAGCCCATTCAATTCATCATGAACCCCTATGCATGCAACAATATTAATCCATGCTAATTACCATTAGTGCAATAATTCTGGTTAAAAACATTGAATTTCCTTTTCTGGGACAGGAGAAATATCTTTAAAACAGAACCATGCACTAAATGTTGAATTTAAAAAAAGATTTCAATATTTTTACCATATAAAGCTTTACATTTCAAAAAGTCAACAATATTAAATTATGAATATGTTTTATAAGAATGAAATTAATTCCACAAAAATAAACTGTATTAAAAATCCTTACAGAACACTTCTAGCCTTTTTTGAACATAACACGGTTGTATATTTAGCATTTATTAGAGATTTTATTTTTATCTACAAATTACTGTAATATATTCTAATTTTCATGCGTTCACTTATTTCATGACATTAGAACATTACCATCTGTTTATATAAGCTATGTAATAAAAGTAATTTAAAAATAGCTACTCTCTACAAATTCAAACATAATTTATACTCTATTTAACAAAATTTATAATTACACTGAAATCTAAATCTTATTTTTAATTAAAGTAAATTATTTGCATACTTTTAAAATATAATTTCAAAATTAATTGCTTAAAAAATATTACCTTTGGGTTTCTGGAAGGCAATCTACAACACGGGAAATATATTCTAGGAATGGTTTTGGATGTGTATCACATGATTTCGATAAGTACAAAACATCAAGTGATGTAATGTGATAGCTTCTTTGCAGACATAATTCTATAGCTCTTGCAGCACTTGCCTTAAAAATTCTAAATCAAAAGTGGAGGAAAAATCGCCAGTTATTTTTATACATTTATGTACATATCAAATTAATGTAATCAAATGTAAATAAAAATACTATCTTAAATTTGCAATAGTATCCAAGTTCTCTATTTTAATTTGGTTATTTCTGCTTTCTGTTCTAAAAATAGATACTGCTTATAATAAATTGCTCTAAACTGCACCATTTAAACGCTAGTCTAAGTCATATAAATCTTGCATTATGCTAATGATACAGCTGCAGCCAATAATCATTTAAAAGTTTTGGAACTGGAACTTAAAACTAACCAGTCAAAATAAAAGTTGAATTAAAAATAAATCATTCTGAATTAGATATTTATCTTACATACATCGGACTCTTGTTCCTTTGGTGCCAACTCACTTACTACCTGCTGCTCTTTACTCATTGAAATTAACTGTAAAAGAGATATAACAAGGCACAAAGACTAAAAAAGTGTTAAACTGAGCACAACGATTAATATCTTTTGAACCAAGCTCTCAGTAAATCATGTTCTCCGCAACATCAACAGTTTCTACATCATATCATACAAACACTTAGCAACACGAATTGATAAAGGTAGATAACAAAATAAAAATTTAAAAAAAATAGTCAAAAAACTAATCAAACTTTACTTCTAATGTGTGAAAAGTTGAGAAGGAAAATGCATTAACCCTTTGCGGTGCACTATACGTTAAAGTCGGAATTTCAACAACAAGCGTTGTATGCAGTCTATTTAGTCCTAAAGGAGTATACTGGTAAAATTTTGTAAAAATTGCCCTTACCGTTTTAATTCTGTGGGTGTTCCATGAGGTGGAAACACGTGTGCTAGAGCTTTTAAAAGTGTGACTAAGCGAGCATTGCAGTGAAGATGAAAATGAGTAGAAGAAGCGTTTGTATAAGAATAAAAACTCTGTATTTTTGGCTGTATACATGGTTCCTGGGATACACATATTCTTGAATATATATGGATAAATGAGATAAATATCTATACAATTCCTATATACAACATATTTACAAATTTTCCTATTTCTTACTTAGCTTCGTGAAATTGTTCAAAGCAGTACACTTTTGATGGAAGCAAAACCGACTACGATTAAAATAAATATCAATTAATATTAACAATAAAGAAAAATAAGCCTATAATATATACATACACGAAAAATATTTACACAATTTTTGAAAATAAACGGGAATGAGACTAAAAAGCGACAGTAAAAAATTCGTGCAGGTCTAAGTAAAAGATGAGTTCAAAGCTACTAATAAAATTCCTGCCTAAAAACTACTCCCAAAAAATTCAAGATGCCAATATTAAGGATTTCATAACACAAAACACACATCACCCCTCAATACTGCTTTGTTTGAATTTGTTCCCTCCCCCCCCCCAAAACAGAAAGCGTAAACAACGGATGTTCTCTCCTAAGCACAGAAGTTCTGATTCATAACAGCATGAGATCGCTAAAGGTGCTGTGTTCCCGCTAATGGAACACCCGGTTTTATTCATGATTCTGCGTATGGTTTTTGTATGAAAGATTAAAAAAAATATAGAACAAATAATTTGGAGACAGCCAGCAAAATTATGCCTAATGTTTTTCCAAATAAAATTTTTATGTCATTAAAAAATAGAGAAATTACTTGAAAAAAAGGGATTTTAATAACACATAATAAATGAAAATTCTGTGTCTCCTGTGATATGCTGCTTCTACTGTTAAAAAGAAATATTCAAGTATACTAAAAGGCATTTTTATCTATTTATGGTTGAATTTAAAGGTTTCAGAAGCAATTCAATTTGGGTGTTCCATTAAGTGGAACACTGAGCCACAAAGGGTTAAAGCAGATAAAATAAATAAATAATAATTTAAAAAACATGGGAATATATAAAAACAAGCTTCGAAATTGATGGGTTCTTGCTGTCTCCCTCAGGCCCGCAGCAGCAAAAATTAATTAATTCAACTTTATATTTGCATAGCTACAAATAACATAAAAACAACACAGCTGGATTCTAGAAATCAAAGGTAATTACAACTACATCGTTATTCATAGCCAATCTTCACCATACAGGTCAAGGATTGCTGGCCAAAAGATAAATAGTGCCAATTTGGAAAGGCAGTTAAAAAAAAAGGAAAGGAGAAACAAAGATATAGTTCCATACTTGAGATCACTGATCCTACTATTAAAATAAGCACAGCCAAATTTACCTTAATTATAACAACATATCTATTGTTTTTCAATTTGGAAAATATTCTTAGCCCTCCATATGCATTGATTCCACGTTACCTATTTCCCCTTTTTGAATAATCCTATAAATGATTTTAATTTTAAACAAACAAAAATATTGCATTACTTATGAATTGGTATTTTAAACATATGTATGGTTTTAAAAATAAATTTTTTGATTAAAAAATTGGAAGAGGGCAATCTTAGTAATTAAAAACAAATACTATGTTTAAATAAATGGCATGTAAAACAAATACCATGTAAAATAACAATTTACTTACTTTTGAAGATGAGAAATAAGAATAGGGCCAATAAAACTTCTTTCAAGACAGTTTGCTGCTGTTTCAATTTGATCAGCAGCTAGTTTTTTTGTAAATTCATCGGAACCACTTAATAAAGAAACACCAGCTAACATCACATTCCATGTTTTATAACAAGGTTTATTGAGAACGTTCAATAATTCTCTCAGTCGCTGTACATCAAAAAGATGAAAGTAATTTTGTAAAAAAGAAGATGACTGTAAATCATCATACAACTGAGAAGAGAAATCATTAGAACTAGGAACAGAGCATTCTTCTTCAGTGTTTATATCCCCATTCGGTATGAATATTAGCTTATCCAGATCATTATGATATGAAGACTTCTGAATTGGTAAACTTGAGCATGCTAATAGTTCAGGCTTTTGAAATGAGTGTGCACTTTCAGAACGCTTTATTGTATTTTTTAAATCTGAAAACTCATGTGAATAGCAAAGTAAATTTTCATGACTTTTTTTATCATTACTTTTCAGAAGTTCTTCTTTTGTTTTTAAAATTGTTGATCGCATTTCCATAACTTTATCAATTTTACCCCAAATCTGCATTTGGAAGCACATCATGGCCAATTCGGACATCATACCATGATCATCTGATGACAGTCTAAATGGATTATATACAAACACTAATTCTTCTAAATTTACTAACTTTCCTAGGACACTTTCTGTTCTTAAAGTGCTTGAATCTGATGTTTCAGCATTTATAGAATGTAGAGAATCCACATGCTTTTCATCATCACATGATTTAGAATCAGAAACTGATGGATCTTCTTGATCTAAGCGTTCACTTATTTCATAATTTTCACTTGGAGATGACTCTTGACTAGTGATTTGACTGCAAGTACTTCTCAGCGTATCATCATCTTTATATGAATGACTACTTGTATTATGATAGTTCTGAAGGAAAGATATAATAGACTGAATAACAGCAATTTGTGCAGAATGCAGCGAATTCACCCAGGTCTCTAATTTGCGTGAAATACTATTTTTATCACATAAAACTGTTAAGTCTCTTGAAAGTAACCTGCAAAATAAAAAAAGTTAGGGAAATCTTATATTTGAATAATTCAGTAAAATAATTAAAATTAAAAATAGTTGCATAAATTAAGATTAGGAAATAAAATAAGAGAGAAACCAAATAAAAACTATATAATATTACAGATATTAATTAAACAATTAAATTACAAATAAATTTTTAAAAAAAAGGCTAAAAGAGCTAACATGAAAGTGAAATATAATGATAATTGAAAGTAGTAAAGTATTACAGTTTGCCAAAACTCAAGTTCATAAAAAAAAAAAAAAAAAAAAAAAAAAAAAAAAGAAAGAAAGAAGAAAGAAAGAAACACTGTTCCGTACTTGTAACTTTATCGTTTGGCTGATAGAACACCTTCCCGTCGCATTTTTGTTATTGTGCATTTATTATGTTAATGCATTAGATGTAAAATCTGACAACTGGAAATAATGTATAGTTTCTGATGATTGGCAACTGACATACTCCACTACACGAAGAACAATTCCTCCCAAAATGTACTCACTGAACTAACTGTTCCTATTCTCTTTAAAAGAATTAATTAATTAAGCGATATCGTGAATAAACGCATTTTTTTTCTTACTATGCTAAACTACCTACATTTTGGTCCACTCAAACTACAGAAGAACCTGAACCTATGGATTAAACACTATCAGTTTCAAACCAAAAGTAATTAATGACGATGGATATTGCACCTTTAAATTAGAAACGCAGAAACCTCAAAGGACAAATTAACAAGTACTTCAAATGTTGTAACAACAGTGGAAAGCAAAATGAATGGAATATCACACACCTACAAGCTCATTTGAATATGGTGGTAAATATTCATGAAAAAATCAAAGTGCTGAAGCAGGGTTCATACACATTTCTGCACACAGAAATTAAGTACTTTTAAGAACCATTAATGAAAAAATAACGACCTATGAGGAAATGGGAACTGAATAAATTCAATTAAAAATACTATTCTATGCCTGAACTTCACTTTTGTAATATCATCCTAAAAATAAAATAGAGCCCTGAGTAGTATGCATTATTACTACACATGAATTAATTAACATAATGATTAATAAGCTTGAGAATAAAATAAACTTTATACAATTTATCAAGTAGGATTAAATATTTTGAAGATGACATTTATTTATGTTTTACTAGTAGTTAGCTTTATGTTGATTTTTTATGTCTCATTTTGTTACATACTTTGTCAGTCTAGAGGTTTAGTAAATAGCAGGTAGATTTTATGTCAAACGGTATAGGTTAAAATGAGAAGTAAGATCATAATCAGCATGATTCATAACAAAAGACTGAATGTTGTCACCACTGTTGCTTGCTTAGAGAGAGATCTGCTTATTAGAACAAACCTGAAAGGTCTGATGTAGACACAGTTGGCAAGGTGTTGAAATTTAGTCAGGCTCTGTTTGATTGCAGTTAGTGTCATAGCTTTGTGTAGAGTTCCAAGGGATTGTAGCCCAGTTAATATAATTTAATGTTCAAATAAGCGATTAAAGTACCAGAGATGATAAGTTTTTTGTATTATTTTAAAGTTTCACTAGATGCAAAGAATGATGCAAAGAATAAGTTTTACTTGAATTTAAAAATTTTTGTGTTTTATCTTGTGACCACAGTAAGTGTTAATGAAAGGCAATAACTCGCTTTAATATGTAGAAATAACTTTTAAGGGTAAGCAGTTAGTTATAAATAATTAAATTATGTAATTAGATAACCTTAATCATTATAGATTTACATGGCCACTATTAAATTTTATTTTTTAACAATATTTGTTAAAAAAGCCTATTAAAATCAAAATCTAATAAAATTTCACAGTTTAAAATACATGTAATTTATGACATTGATTCTTAAACAATATTAGGATACACATTAAAAGCTACAAAACATTTATGTTTTGAAACAACACTCAACAAAATATTTATCCTTCATTTTAATTTGAAGCCTTTCTAAACATTTTGGCTAGTTTATATTGATTTCCTTCTCTTTAATCATCTTTTCTAACAATTAGAGAGTTGTCTCAATATGCAAACCAATGCTCTCGCTAGTTTCTGCGTGCTTATCTCCTAACTTGTCAACATCTCCACAAGGTACCTATGAGGGTTTACTTGACCTGGTAAAAGTTAAATAGTCCCAAACCCCCGACTGAATCATAAACCCGAAAGGCTGAAATTATAAACAATTAAGTAAGTTACATAATAATAACTGCACATATCTTTGAGGAGTAATTTTTTTTTATGTATTCAGTTTCTTTCTTCAACACGATTCCTTTTCATTTTAGAATTTTTGGATCTAATTATTTCTGTTATTCTAAGAAACACTAAATGCATTTAGAATGTATAGAAAAAGTGGCTAGTTCTATTTTTTAGTAATATGAACATTCAGAAGAAATATGAAATATATATGGTAAAGCCCGGTTACAAAGCTGGTGTGGCAGAAGTTTTAGAATTTAGTGACACACCGAACAACAAAATCCAGAAATAGCAAAACGTTTAGAATTTAGGATCCACAGAGATTGCCTCAGATGGAAAAATGCCTAGTGCCAGCTCTGTATATAATGCATTAAGGCATATATTAGATGAATCTTTTAAATTGTAAGTTTTCAATTTCTTTATTAATAAAAAAAATCCCTTTCTATAATGCCTACCCAGTGAAAAGTTAGAAGCATTTTTGATATTTTTGATGCTTGTGTCTAGTGAAAGGTAGAGAAAATAAAGGGAAGATAAAGATGTTAAGAAAAAGATTCTAGTATCAGGAGTAAAACATTTAAATATTATGTTTTCATTGTTCTTCCAGACGTTCTCCAAAAGGTAAGAAATTCATCGCAAACTTTGTGTAAAATACATCCATTACGTGTCGATATCATGGAGACATTTTTCATTTTGTCACATATTTCTCGAATCTTCTAGAATCGTGGGTCTATAAATCTTGACTTCAAACCCTTCTAAACTTTCCAAGCTGCAATGTCTAAAATACTAAAGAAAAATTATCCCTACCAATTCTGTAAAGCAAAAAAGTCAGAAAATATTTTGAAAAAAAAAGGAGGGAAAAATGTAAAATTAATTTTAATAGAGAAAACTGATGCATATTCTGAGAATTTTAAATATTCCAAGACAATTGCATGGGAAAAACGCTTATTATGAAAAAATTAAAAAGAAGACATTTTTAATCAATTGCATAGCTAATTTTGCTCTTGCTAAGAGCTGTTTCATAAATTATGCTTTATAGCAATATGCCTTATTTATCAGATTCATAATATTGTATAAGTTGCCAAAATGAAACTATAATGTGACAGCGAAAAATAGAATGTTTTAATTTTAATGTTATTTTTTATATATAATTTCAATATATTACCATTATTTTAATGAAATTTATCAATGTTTATGATGCTTTAGAAAACTGGTCGAAAAATTTTCAGATCTCGGAAGTAAAAATTTTCTATAGAAACTGATCCTAAAATCGCCAAAATGTTGACAAGTCGCCAAATTTAGAGCTGTTTAATAAAAGAATTCACATCCCCAAAAGCGAAAAGTTGTTTAAGAGTTCTTTATTAGAAAAAAGGAATTTCGAAATGCTTATGTTTCACTTGCTTAGAAACACTTGCTTAGAAACTCGAGTATCCCATCATTTTTATTAGAATAGAAACAAATTATAACCCATAAACCCATTCAAAAGATGACCATATATGTCAGTGAATTGCCAAAAATATTCCTCCAAAATGCTAATTCACACTCAAAATGGCAGTCATAAAAACAGACAGAAATTTCAGATGAATTGAATTAAGGACCTTCTGCTGATTTTGGCCAAAATTAAGGACTTTTAAGGACCAAAAATCAATTCAAAATATTTAAGGACTTTTAAGGACTCTTAAGGACTGTACGAACCCTGTGAAGAACGACTATTACAGAATACTCATGGACAAAAGTTACAAATCTGTAACAAATCAAAATATTGACAGCCCTACACACGAAAGTTATTCTATATATAATAGTCAGTTTAAAAACAGTTAATAATTGCCAAAAATTCCTCTTCCAAATGTTAAGTGGCATGGTCCTGCAAGTATATTAGAATTTTGACCTGCATTAATTGGCTGGAAAAGTTCTGGCCATACATGGCAGATCAAGAATATTTATTTTATATAAAATCCATTAGTTAATCACAATAAAAGTAAGCATTGTCCACATTTATGAATTTGTGCCTATGTTCAAAAAATGTTCTGATTCAATCCTTCAGAATTAAACTGGCTTTGGAGCAAAGACAATTGGCAATATTTTATTTATTCAGTTCTATTGGCACAGGAATGCCCACATGAACTGGAGCTCATGACTGCTGTAAATGGAACCCTTTCAATAGACAGAAGAAAATTTTGAATGCTAAAATCCCAAACTAAAAATAAACTATTATATTATTATTATAAATTAATAATAATATAATGGTTAATAAATAAACTCAAACTTTGGGACTAAATATATTAAATGAGAGCAAAATTCAATATTTAAACAGCAAATAGTCATATAGAAATATTCAATGTAAGTTTCCAGCATTATTAAATTCATAATGACAATTGACATTTTTGAAGAATCAAAATTCACAACAGTTAAAAATAATTGAAATTAGTACTTAAAATTAAAGCAAAATAAAACAGATTCTGTTTACATGCTAAAAATCTGCATTAAAACATTGTTAAGGTAACATCTTTCACAGAGAGCCAATCTGTTTCATCAACTGAAATCCAAATCTAAGACTATTTCATTTTGTTGTAACTTCAATAATATATATTTGTTGAAGGAAACAAAAATTACACTATCAAAAGTTCACTGTAAAATGCATATTTAGTAATTAATGATAAAAAATATTTTTAACATCAAACAATAAAACTAAAATGTTATTAGAAATATTAGTTAAAATGACAAAACTATATCTAAGATAAGAGCATCAATAAAAGAAAACATGCAAGTATTTTCCTCTGTATTTGACTATTGTGTATTTTAAAACAATTAAAAATATTTTTTCAAATAATCAAAGAATGAATATTATTTGAAATCCATTGATATTTTACAATGTTTCAACATAATTTTTAAATCTCAAAATTACTTCATATTTGCTACCAAATACACATTTTACCACACTTGAAAATGCTCAGTCTTTTCTTCCTTACACTTATAAACTTTTAAATTAATACCCGTATTAACACAGTTAATGACATTCTTGAGTGTTCAAGTTACATAAAATGAATAAATACATGAATTATTAAAGAGATAATACTGTAAGTTATTAAATTAGAGAATGCTATATTACCAGGTATTTTTTGTAATTTCAATAAGTTCCATTAAATCTATTGCAGGTAGAAAAGACCAAAAGTTTCTGTCAGCAGAATGAAACTCAGATGAACTTCGTTCAGCATCTATGTTATGTTAAAAAAAAAAAAAAAAAAAAAAAAAAAAAAAAAAAGTAATTAAAATTACTATTGATGCCAAAATATTTTGCTGAACATTAATCACTCTTTTAAACTAAAATTTGTACATTTAAGTGAAATATTTATTTAAATGCACATATTCATATCAAAAACGTTCATCACAAAAGTTCACATCAAAATATAGATAAAATAATAGGAGATAAAATAAATTTCAGGTACTATCTGATTATACAGACCACCTGGCCTACAACATTCATTGCCACAGCACTTGCAAACTCACTGGCAACTAATTTTTACTAAGCTAATGTGCAAAAGGCAACAGCCATTATGAAAATAGCAGTGCACTAAGAATTCCATCGAAGAGCAATTAATTGATAAAATTAAAAAAGCAAGAAACATCAGTAATAAAACACTAGAAACACTATTATAAAACACTTTTTTACCTTTTTTTGAGAAATCCTCCCTTTTTTTTTTTTTTTTTTTTTTTTTGCACTGTAATTCTCTGCAATCCATTTTTACTTAAAAAACATCTGAAAATTGCATGAATTTGCTAATTGCGCACTGGCCAAAACAAATATGTACTATGTGCCCACCTGAATGGCAACATGCATATTTTTTGGTAACATCAAAAGTTACCATTTTTTTACTTTAGCGACATATTGCTTTGCTGTATGAATATTTTTCCATGAATTTTTGGTGAAGGTATGGATAATCAGAGAGTGCCAAATTTTACTAGAGTGAGAAGGTTATTAATAAGAACTTATGTAGGGTGTCCCTAAAATAATCTTGATCTATTTGGGCAAAAAAAGTAATTGCATGCAATTCACACATAATGGACTGTAAATTTACTCAACTTTCAAAATTTTATTTTCACAAACTTTACACCATTCATGACCACTCCCATGAATTCTCTCAATATTTTTAAAAATATGCAATCTCACATGGCAGTCAATTGTATACAATGAAAAGCATAGCAAATTCTGTGCAAGTATTTACACATGCACAGACACTACAGCAATTATTTCTCAATTTAAATTTTTTCTCTGTTTTTTTATTTTGTACTAAGTATCAAGAACTGCTTATAGAATTATAATAATAGAGGAAAGAATAATTGCTATTTTGAGATTGCCCAACTACATCTATCCATTGTTTAGTATAAAGTTAAATTTAGCATGTATCCCCCCCCAAAGAAAGTATTACATATCATCTCGAATAAACATCTTTATTATAACCAAGTGAAACACATATTTGAATATTGTGCAAAACGAACAAAAAGTGCAAATTTATTTTGATTTACTTTGATTTGCATTTGCAAGGGTGGACAAAAGTAGCCAGGCTATGACTACTTTGCTTTAATGGCTTGCTCAACTTTTTGCTTCTGCTGCAATGATTAGAAGTAGCCAAACATTTGTTTTGTTGGAATAGGTTTTATAAATTTCCACAAAAAATTGGATTTATATGGCTTCATATTATAATTCTGATAAACACACAGCCCACAGGGATCATATACACAGAAACTGAAAAAGTTCAGTCCTTAGCATAACACTAACAACATTTTTGATACCCAAACAGAACACGGTGGTTACGGATACAAATTCATGCTTTCTCTCCCCACAGCCATACACTAACATCATCGCAGTTAATCCATCAGACGTTCTTAGTTATATCGAACATTTAAAAGAAAAAAAAAGAGCCCTGAACAAGATAAGATCATGAATAAAATGGGAAAAATATGGGACTCTATGATGATCTGTAAGCTCAATAGAATAATACAATAAATCCTGCACTTCAGATACTTTCCACTACAATGGAAAATAGCGATCATCACACCCATTCCCAAATCTGGCAAAACTGCAAATAAGCCCGCCTCTTAGCGGCCAATAAGCCTCCTACCAGTATCCAGCAAAATTGCTGAGTTTGTTATCCTGAAATCTATCACAAATTTTGCAGAAAATCAAATACTCCTGATCCCCCAGCAATATGGGTTCAGAAAGTATCATTCAACTGTCCATCAGTTATACAGGGTAACTGAATTGATATCTACAGGACTTCAAAAATTATCACTGTTGCTATTTTTCTAGATATAGCTAAAGCATCTAAAGCATTTGATCGTGTTTGGGTCGATACACTCATATACAAGCTAATCTTTTGGGGTTTCCCAGAACACATCATAACAACACTAAACTCCTATCTCACCAATAGATACTTTATTGTTTTTGTAAATAATACATACTTCACAAAGTAAAAATATGTGTTGATGTCCCTCAGGGTTCACTTTTGGCACCAGTAGTTTTTAACATATATGCGAATGATATTCCACACAAACAGGGCACAACACTTTGTATGTATGCAGATGACACTGTGATCCTCACCTGAAAGCATCTATTAGCTCTCAGCTATACAACAAGTACAAGCACACATACATTCACAAGAGTTCTGGCTCTCCACATAAAATATAAAATTTAATGTGGAAAAATCCATTGCTGTTATGTTCACCAAGAATTGATTTGAAGGAAATATTACTTTTTAATTTACTTAATATAAATTTATTTAATATGATTACTGAAAGAAATATTACTTTACAATACCCTCTTTGGCTGTGCCAAGGAGGTCAAATACCTAGGTGTAATCTTAGATCATTATTTATAATAGAAGCTCCACACTAAACACATAATTACAAAGTCTCAAGCTAGTAAATCAGCCCCTTAATTGCCCGAAACAGCATTTTAGCTATAGATAAAAAATAACTTATTTTTAAGACAATGTTGCATCCCATACTCACCTATGCATGCCCAGTCTAGGGTTATATTTATAAAAGCACTCTTCTAAAACTACAGCAGCTACAAAACACTATACTGAGACAACTAGCAAACTATCCATGGTACCTCAGAAATGACTCTGTTCATAACGAATGCAAGATCAGATGAATAGTTGATGTGAAATTCTATAACACTATCATCAAGGCAAATAGCCCCACAATAACCAGTTCTTAATTAACACATAGACTCAGCAGAACACAGAAAAAGGCCAAAAGCCATCCTCAGGGACATTCTATAATCATACTTAATTTTTTCCTTCATATTTAAAACCTTACAAAAAAAAAAAAAAAAAAAAAAAAAAAAAAAAAAAAAAAAAAAAAAAAAAAAAAAAAATTGATTATACCCTTATTTAAACAATTACGGATTGTAATATATCAAATTGCATGGTTTAATACCTATAGCTTGAATAAGTAAAAATAATTTTAATTCCTAGCCAATTATTAAATTCTTAGCATGCTTATTCTAATTCTTTAATGTACACCCCCTCCCCCACCCATTCGGTTGCCCTTCTAAATTAGTATGGACCTGAAAAGAGCTTAACCCCCTACCCCCAGCACACTGTCAATCACATCGTACCCAATAGGATCCCTCCTCTACAGCCAATAGCATTCAATTATGCTCCTATCTATGCTCTGCCTACTGAGCCAGCTCTCTCTCTCTCTCATTCAGTCTCGAATGCTTGCCACTGCTGTATGCACTACGACTAACTCTCTGAAAGATTTTTGATTCCTGGCTCTTCATCACCAACTTCAATTATAACTTTCCTTCAGGACTACGATTGCTATTTTCTACAACGAAATTCTTGCCATAATTGCTCTACAAACTTTATCCCCAATATTTTTAATATTCGAAAAAAGATTATACTGCTACTCTAGGATAGGGCTATGCCCAGGTGGCTGAAGACAAATTAACATTTGTTCACCAGGGAAACACAGCAAAAATAGCTATTCTTGCTGTTATCATTCTACAAACAGTTTTTTTAATACTCAATAAAAGATAGAAATAATTAATTTTCACTGTAATTCATTCAGACACTGAAGACCATCTGTATCAGAGTCCGTACACATTTCCTTACATGAAAATTAAGGACTTTTAAGGACCATCAAAGAAAAAATTAAGGACCTATCAGCAAACAAACAAACAAAACAAAACAAAAAAAAAAAAAAAAAAAAAAAAACCCGAATAGAATAAAGCAATTGTCCATACAACCGACTTCATGCTTGTAATTTCACTTTAAGAAACTAACAGAAGTGTGTATTATGCACTATTATTAAATTCAATTTAATACTTACCATAAAACAATTTTGAAAATTAAACTAACTCCCTACAAGTTATGAAGCAGATAACATTAAATTAGGAACATAATTTCTTGAAAAACATGTATAAGTGTATTTTACACTAATAACAGTCACTATTTTAGAGATTTACATGATTATTATTTAACTTATTTGATATTTATTTAAATACAGTCAACTACTATTATAATCACAATGTAAGAATATTTTGCAGATTAAAATAACTGATTTGTAAACGTACAATTTATTTCCTTGGTTTTTTGAAAGATACTAGAATAATAAACTGTACAATAAAAGATACAAAACATTTGTGCTTTTTTTAAATTTGAAATCTTTTCAGCTATTTTAACATCTAATTTATTTATGCTTATTTCCTTTTCTTTAACTATTCTTCTAAGTTCATTTGCTTTGATAAACAAATCAATGTTCCTGCTAGTCTCAGCTTCATCTGCTAAAGCATCTACTTCTTCATTAATATCCTTAATGTCCCTTTGAAGAAATTTTTTCTTCTGCTTCATATAATCAATTTCTTCCTCAATAATATTTCTTTTCCTCTTTGAATTTTCAAATTTAGTTAAAGATTTTAGTTCTTCTAAATACTGCATATATTTAGACCTTGCAGAAGCTGCTGCTGATCTCATTTCTTTATTAATTTCGATATTAAGAACACCTCCAGAAAATTTTATGTAATCAAATACTGTGCATTGAAAAATGTATGATGAGTCACTTAAATTTTCAATTTCAATTGCTTTATTTACAGAGAAGCCTCTTTCCACAGAGGCCTGTTCATGTGACAAGATAAGAATACTTCTCACAGTGAATACTTGAATAGTGAAAGTATACATTTATATATTATATATATATATATATATAT